CGGATCGCATTGGGTTGTAGGTCTGGGAATGCCACGTTTGGTTACTGGCTTGACTTAGGACCTAGGATCTGTCAGAAGCCGCTTGGGACTCGTTTGTTTTCGCGAACCTCCACAGCGCGACAAGTCTAACATATCACGACGACGATCCCTGCTACTACCACCTAGCACCTGCTATAGTGCCACTAGTACGAGTACCCACCACCGCCACCACCACCACGACGACTACTACTACTGCCAGTAGATTCATCCTCTTGTGCCGTCTGCTTCTTCCTCTCCATTCTGCCTGTGATGTTGACAGTGCCAGTACGTGCTAGTCTTCTTGGTCCTGCCATTTATGCTGGTCTTTCTACTCCTTCTGCTGTTCCTGGTGCTGCCATGGTTGGTATTTGTCTGCCGCTGTGATGCATACTTGTTGCTCTTCTCCATTACAGCGATGCGCGTTGTCGCAGTTTTGACGGATTACTACAAATCGCGTCTGCTGCCCAAGAACAGGGTTGCCACACGTCGTTACCATAACGTGACAGTTGAACAACGGGACGGGCTGAGAACCACTGCATAAGCCCCAGACAAGCAGCACAGCTCAGCGCTAGATCTGCGGTGGCCCCCTGCAATTGGCTTGGCCAAGCAGGGCCCACGGACCTTTCGGTCAAGGGCTGCTTGCCGCGGCCCTTTCAAGTTCAGAGTCAGCACCTTGCACGGAAATTTGCGAGCTCCACTGCTGGAGAGGAATTTTGTACGCCCATAACTCTGACAGACAGAAATTTGCGGCTTGCCAAATGGGGTTCTCAGTGCTGAGTGAGGAATACCCCTATTCCTGTCAAGGGGTGTAGCTGAGCTTCGTGTCTTGGCCTCCGGTAGTGCTGTTCCTGAACGGGCCGCGGCTTCTCTTTCATAACCCTTCTTGGCATGGCCTTCTGGTGAAGGGAGTATCAGCCAGAAACAAACGGGTTCGCGCCATCGCGACCGAAAAACTTCTTCGAGCCAGGTTACTGGAAGCCTCAGAACCGTGCATGTAGGTTCATCCCTGGATGTCAGGTAGACAGACCCTCCGTCGTCCCTAGGTGGAGGCTTCGTGGCTTCCATTTTGATGAGCTCAGCTGTGAGCTCCACTCTCAGATCCGAGCTCAGCTCTGAAGAGCTTCTGGAGTTTTGGGCCAGCCCAACACCGCCGACGCCTCTCTACTAGTACAGCCTGCAAAGGAGGCAGTGTTGCAACCACAATCTCCCGCTGCTCAGCAGATGAGGTCGCCGTTGTGAAACGGATCTACGCTATCGAACTCCTCTTTTCGCATGCTTATATGCCGCTTTCCATCCATTTTAAGCAAAACAAACTAAATCAGGCGATGCAAAGGAAAAGTTCGAAAAAGAAATAGCTGTTGGGTGTAGAAGCCCTCCGATCGGCGTGCACCCGTGCGGGAGTTTTAGGCCCAAGTTTCGAGCTTGTGTGGAGTGTCTACCAGTCTCACACACCGCAGGGAAAGAGGGTTGCACGTCATTGCCGAAGGGTCCCCACAGGCCTATGTTCCCCATCATGGGGTGGCGAAACATCGGTTGGAAGAAATGGGGCAAACGCTGTTTCTGCTCCATGTTCCTATGCTCTTCTGGCTTGTGCATAGATATGATGCTTCTTTGAACCTCAAGAATGCTGATTTGGCATCACCTCGAGGTGGAGCAAGTGATGACTTCAGGGCGGAGGGTACGATCGGGACCCGTGGATAACCAGACCTCTCGACCCTCATCTCTGACCTAGCCCTTATCCTAGCTGAACTCCGTCTGCTAGGTGAAGAAACAGGAGGACTGGCAGCTGGACAAAGCCCAAACACTGGCACTCTTTTGTTGACAATCCGCCCAACTTCGGCAGCTCATGGATACGTGTGTGCAACACGAACCGATCGTACTAAAACGAAGCCATCTCTTGACAACACAAGTGTAGCAGTGTAGCAACACTGTGACATGCGAAGAAATCGTTCCCTCCGCACTGGGCCGTGGAAAAAGTCGACTGTTGTCGGAGTGCACTGCGTGTTCGGTAGCTCGAGATTTGGTCCTGCGCGGCACTTCTGTCGTTCAAACCCCACCCCCCCCCCCACAGACGACATCCCCGAATGTATTGCTGCCATGTCTACTACCACCACAGCCATGCACCATGCTCGCCCTACATGTCCTTTGCTGCTGCTGCTGCTACTTGTACCGGCTCTCCTTCTGCTACGGCTACTGCTACTCCTACTCCGACTTCTCTTCTACGACTCTTCTGCTGCTAGTACCAGTACAGCACTCGTACTAGTACCATTACCAGTACTAGTACTAGTTCCTAGTACTGGTAACTAGTACTAGATGCGAGCACGCCTTCTGGACGGCGGCGAAGCTTCATATCCTCATCCAACTTCTCATAGTACGAGTAATAATCCTTCAGAGGCTCTTCGATAATCCGCTCGATGTCGGCAGCTTCCACGATCCGAGACCCACGGGTAACGTCCACGCCGTGGCTTCCCCCGAGCCTACGGGTGTACCACCACTGCACCACTACTGCTGCTGCTACGAGGTGCGTACTCCAGCCCTGTCCTTTCACCGGCTCGCCGTCAACGCGCGATCAGATCCAGCCCGTAGACTCCTTCAGTGGCAGCGTCAACGTGTGGGAGCGGCCGGCGTGGGTGAACGGACAAGACTGGCCTCCGCGCTGATAGGCGAGAACAAATCCCTCTTATAGCAGAAGAAGCAGATCCGTGTACATCTGCGAGGTCTCAACACCCCGCGCAAACGAAACTAATCTGAACACCTACATGATCCTGTATGCACAATGGCAGACAACACCAAATCCCAAGATTCGATCATTGCTGATTCGGTCGAGACTCCTCCTTTCTCTTCTTGGCCTCTTCCCTCGGCAACATGACATGATGGAGGGCCTTTTGCCGCTAGGGAATCCCGACCGTAGGACACGCACACCGAGCCCAAGAACCTTAGAGTCTTTTGTGTCGGAGTTTCCCGGGTGAGCCTGTGCTTAAGGCTGAAAAGCCGAGCGAGGAGAACTAAATCTACCGAGTCCTAGTCGTGTACGCTTTGCAACAGCACAGAGTTCGAGAGCCCCTGAGCCCTCAGGAGCATCGAAGTATTCTCGCCATATTTCTCTGCGTGCTGTCTGGATGCTCGGCTCTCAGCTTCTGGGACTTGTGCAGCTTCTCCTTGGCAGCGGGCCCAGGTGGAAACTGCTACTCCTGCGTTTCTTCCGGTGAGGGTCTTCCTTGCAGCTTCTGGAGCCGCATGTAATCAGTTAAACCCCGAAGGAATAGCATCCGTCAAGTCCGGGCACCAGAACGGCCACGAGGTCGTAATGCCGGTTCTCTTTCGCCTTCCGATTGACACGGGGTTGCACAGACCAGTCAGCGAGCTTCTCATGTCTGTTCTTGCTCGCAAGTGCTGTTCCTATGTAAACCGAATTTTCAAAACTGTGGTATGAATCGCAGGCACTGGCCCGTCACTACGACTCAACCCACGGCCTCCGTGATCGCACTGTGGCCCCAACGGTCAGTCAAGTAGGGATCTGCCTGCCCCCCAGGACAGCTTTCGGAAGTGCTCGGCGGCGCTCCGGATTAAGAAAAAAGACGAGACAGCATCAACGACACCACCACAGCCTTAACAGGAGCGCACCTGCTGACTGCAGAGGCTCCGCAAAGCCCGATCCACTACCGGTAGCACCAGAACCATCATCATCGAGTTGGGGGTGGTCTGGTCGTAGTGGTGGTCGCGGCGCGGTCGCCGTCGAGGTCGGGGTTGGTTGTTGCGGTTATGATTGGCAGTCCGCGTAGTCAACACCACCATCATCAACGTCCTCATGGTCCTTGCCATCATTTCTGCCATCAGTACCATCACCTCGGCCGAAGCCACCACCCACCGCCGCCACCACCATCGTCATAACCATCATCGCCATGAGCGTAGAGAAACAGGAAACCAAGTAATCTCGTTGTCATCACGACACGCAATGGCACCATCGCTACCATCGCCACCACCACCACCACCACCACCACCACCACCGCCATCATCATCCATCATCTCGCATCATCAGCGCTATCGTCGCAATTTCCATCAGCAGCATGTTACTACTTTACCCTCGTGCTGATTATCATCGGTATCGTCGAGGTCATCTTTCGTGATCATCGTCACATCCTCCTCCTTCTCCTGCTCCGGTGGCATGGCCACCAGTGTCATCATCATTGTTATCGTTGTTGCTGTAGGTAAATGCTACCACTCTGAAGCAATCGTGCGGGCTGCAGGGTCTTCCAGCCAACAGCTCCAAGCCAAGCCCTCAAAGAAAACCCCCCAGTCCCTCGCCCCGTGAGGGTCTAGCACTGCCACTTGGCCAAGACTTACCGAAGGCTTCGGGCGTTCAGTGATGGCTGGGGTTGCGCGGCGGCAGCCTTGATCTGCACCAGGCTCACAGCTGCCTCCATATTGCCTGGTAGGGCCCGGGCCCCCGAGGAAGGAACGGCAAACCACCGAGCCGAGGTCTTTCGTGCTAGCTTTGGGCCGTTGTCCAAGACATCAGAGCTTTTTGCTGGGCTGCTAAGCGTCCTATTGTTGGTAGTGGCGGGAGTGTAGTGATGCAGTGGACTGCCATGACCGTGGGATTCCGTCTTCCGGCTGGCGAGGCATCATCCATTGAGCCGACGCTAACTCTATAGGAGTTTTACCTGAAAAGCACACACGACCCAGCCTTCTGCACATGCGAGCATGAGAGCTGTGCGCTTGTCGTAGTCGCAGCCTTGAGATGCTGCCCCGACTAACCACGTGAAGCCGCTTGGAAGACTGGAAGCGATAAACAGGAGCTTGTCAGCCCTGTGCAAGACTCAGGAAACCCGCAACCCGCAGCGTCCGAGACTCAGGCAATCGGGGGAGAGCCCGCAAAGCGAGATCCTGGGCCAAAATACTCCGAGGTTTGTGCTGCTTGGTAACCTGCTTGAGGTTCAGGTTCGCACCAATCAAAGGGGGCCCAGGGTTCCGTGAGGATCTCACATCTTGTGAAGAGTCGGAGGGATGCGTAACCCCGTCCCAACCCGAACTTGCCAGACCGTCAGGCCAAGCAGCAGGTTGTTCAGGTAAGAGTTCTGCCCTGAGAATGCTGCTTGGCACCTGGGTCTAAGTGCGTTCTAAGTGCTAAGAAGACAACAGCAAGACAATTCTGGCTTTTTGAGCTCCTGACTCCTGAGCACCTGAGCCCTGGCCTTTGCAAATCCCCGCTGTCGGATGAGCCCGCTACAGCTCTTGGCCGGCATGGGTCACGTTGGAGTCGTCCTGATGCCAGTGAAAACACGAGCTTCAACATCACTGGAACCTGAGGCTACATCGCGATCGCAAGCGGAAGACCCTTCACGGTCCGTGTTCCCGTCTTCGCAGAAGCCGTGGTGCGCTCCGCGAGTCTGGAGCAGACGAGCGCAGTTCCTCGGAGGAACGAAAGTGGCGAGTGCCGCTCGCCTCCAAAAAAGCTCCAACCGAAAAGTCTCCGTTCCCTCCGATCTCTGAGAGCCCCGGGCCCCCCCGGGCCCCCCCCGCTTCCCGCTTTTGCTTTTGCACGCGCCGGGCCCTCTGAGGCGGCCACTCGTTGCCATGTCGGACGGCCTGCGTCAGCCCTCTCTCAAGGCCCTGGGTCCCGCACTCTCAGCTCTGTCAGCTCTCTCGCCTCGCGCTGGGCACAACCCAGAAAGCCGGGCCGGGTGTCTTTACGTGCGCGATCGGTCCTCGCTGTTTTGCTGGGATGTTTCAATCGGGTGCCTCCATCAGAGGGGTGCGACCGAAGTTGTCACGGCCTCCAAGTTGCAGTGATCGCTTTTGACGGCTCTGGAAGAAACAGACACACAGGCTCCACCGAGGCATGGACAGCTCATGTTGATGGACTCCTGCCAGCTACATCGAGGTGTTGCATTCAAGAGCAGGAGCAGCCTCAGAAGCACCCCCAGAGGTTTCACGGGTTGAGCCCGCGAAGGCCCTGCTTTGCCAGGATAGATGCGCTGTAGTCAACCAACCCTGGCTTTCCCTCTGACCGTTGCTCAAAGGTGAAGCTTTGAGTCCTCCTGAATCAGCACTTCCACCGCCGCATGATTGCCAGAGGCACAAGCCAAGTGCAGTGGTGTGCGGCGATCGTAGTCTCCTGCGCGTCCAACAAGTTCTGAATTGGAAAGAGGGTTGAGGGTTGCACAGGGCGCAGTCTGGTCTCAGACACAGGCCGGGTTGAAACTTTTTTTGCCCAAGGCTCAAGCCCTGAACCCAATATCAAAAGAGCGCCAATCGAACTGCAGAGTTTAGCATAAATTGGAGTGTTTGGACAAGCCCTTATGCCAAATGCTTCGCTTGCCCGTGCCTGCATTCGCATCTGCACCTTGAGAGCTCACTGGAGTCAAACGACTTACAAGGACTAGCGGCAGATGACTGAACCCTGCCACTGATCTCAAACTCTAGAGGCTTTATCAGAATCTCATGCTGCGAGCAAAGAGCGGAACTTCAGCAGGCTAGTCAGGAACCTCGGTCGCTTGGAAAGCCGAACTACTGGGAACTTGAGGCCTCGTTTGGAGGTTTCGGGTTGCGCGTCTATAGATTTGAGGGAGGCAGACGGGTAAGACTCAGCACCCATGTCCAGCAAACAAACGTTGCTCATGCTTCCGCACACCAAAAAAGGCTTGCTGCGCCAAGTATGCCGCTTCACATGCGGTCTGTAAGACGAAGGGTTTGGCGAAGGCAAGGGCACACTCCAAATCCAAAGATTCTGGCCAATCAGTGACCCTTTATCTAGATCTGAAAAGCCGTCCTGAACTGCTGAAGCCAGGACATGATGCAACGCCCACGAGAATAACACGAAAAAGCACAAAAAGCCTGAGGTTTAACCCCGACACGGAAAACTCCACACGCATCGATTGGGTTAGTGTTGAGCCAGTCGGAGTTCGGGATCTTTACATGAGCACTTTTGTGCACAATGCTTTCAATGAACAAGAAGAACAGATCTGCCTCCAGGGGGCCAAAGTTGCTGCGGGTCACTTGCCGCAGCACAAAGCTCTGCAGCCTCTGCGAACTTGTCCATGACTTCCTGAAAGCTACACGTGTAGGTCGGGTATGACAGCATGGACGCGCGGCTTGCAGTGTAGATTTCAAGGTTTATACCTGTGAATATGAGCAAATATGTGCAATTGCACGAATGCAAGCATGCTTAACGATTAACAAACAGCTACGTAGAGAAGTCGATAAGCGGATTGAGTGCGAGTGCGGACGGCAAGGCAGATCGAGAGCTAGATAGCTACGAAGGCTACAATGGACCAGACGACATACGTGGCAATGACAGTAGGACTCACGTCAGCTTCCAGACATCTAGCCACGTGCAAGATCGGGAATTTCAACGCGGAAGTAGAAAGATAGCCTCTAAAGACTTTCAACCCTTCGCAAGCATCATCTAATTCAACTTCACCAGCTCGCCGAGCATCCGGAGCTGGCTCGGAATCCAAATTCAAGCTGGCTTGCCTCGGTTAGCATTTCTGTGTTGGAGGTGCTGAGGCCGCTGAAGCCTTCGGACCCACTGTGCTGGAAGTCCATGGTCTCTGGAGTTCTGGAGTGTTCGTCTTTGGCCTCCGACCTCTTTGACTCTCTAAGCTGCGCAGACTTTGAAGAAGTCTCTTGCCTCATGTCTTTGCATCGTCACCGCTGCTTGAACTGCACTTTACCAGGTCTTGATAGGATGAACCTTGATGCTAATTGTAGCGCTGACGATCGTGCCGCTCCTTTTGCTGGCGCTGGTGCTGGTGCTTCCCTGTCCCTATTCCGATCGAGAGCTGACTACTCCCGTCAGCCCTAGAAAACCCAGGTCGAAGAGGACACACCCAAACCCAAACCATGGGATATCAGCCTCTTTCAACATTGCATCTGAGAAGCGAATCCCGCACGTCTGCGGAATCAATGGACCTCGGCAGTGGCAGTGGTGAGCTCAAGAACCAGTAAGCTGAATTTCGCATGCACGAAGCTGTCAGGCATTGACACTAGCTTCAGACTATGTCTTCGATTTACCAGCACATAGAGCGAATGCCTAGCCAACGAAAAAAGGCACGAAAGGATAAAGGAGAAAGACGAAAGGCCCAAAAAAAACGCTAACAAACGCCTCTTCCTCCTCCCCCTCCTCCCACTCTGTTACTGCCACGATGACGACGACTAGCGACTAGTGCTGACGGTGTTGAACTGCTGATGGAGCTGGTGATGGTGACGGAAGATAGTGAAGGCGGCGACGATGGCGAGAGCAAACAACTGTTCTCTCATCTCTACCCCAGTCGCACCTCAGTTCAGGCTTGAAAGTCGGTATGGCCCTTGTTCCTCTGTGCCTCCGATTGCTGCCGACTGGGCATCACTGAGCTCACCCGGGGCTCGAAATCCTTCTCGAAGCCGAGCATGGCCCCGTTCTCGTGGAGCCTCGTCGCTTCACTTCTTTCTGAAAGGAAGCGCTTCAGAAAGGGAGCTCATATTTCAGGGAAGTCTTGGTGCCTTGAATTCAGCCTTCAAGGGTAGGAGAAGCCAGAAGCCCGATCTCATCAAGATTCCAGTCTGTGGGCTGAGCCGGGAAGTCTAAGGTTGAGATCCCCAACCCTGACAGGGCTAAGACGACTCAGGCCTGCGCAGGGGAGGTCAGTTCTGCACACATCAATCGCAACACCATCATCACCACCATCACCACGAACATCACCACCACCAAATGGTAAATGCTTCAGTCGCCATCGCTCTCATAAGCGTGCTTTCGAGCACGCACACGGTCGAAACACAAACAAAAGGGTCTGCCAAATTCGCTGAGGAACAATTTGGCAGCCGCCATTTGCCGCTGCCGGCCTTTGTTGCGCATTTCTGCAATTCGGAGATGCGTTTGCATCGAGGGTTTAACGGGTTACACATCCAGAGTGCAAGCTTGCTGGTCACCTCATGTCTATCAACCTGATTCACTCGCTGCGTATGCCGCAGCCCACGTGCTCACCGGACCTCTGACCTCTGCATCAAAATGACACTTGTGCCATCCTGGGGTCCCGGCAAGCTTCCATGAGAGGGGTACGTCCGAAATGGTCCACGCAGTCGATCCTTTGCATGCGTTCTTTGATTTTCGACAAACGCGACAGTTCCCTGCTCGCGCGATGGTGAAACCAAGTTGTGACAGGCCCATGCAGCACCCTCAATCACTCAATCTCTTCCGGAGTATGACAACATTCCCCTGGTAGCTACCCGGCAGGAGACTTGACGTTTACGACGGCTCTTCAACCAACCTTGAACTAGAAACGATTATCTAGTTTTCACAGCCTGGCTTGGTGCGATGACCGAAAAAGACATATGCCTAAACACCATCCTTTGCTGTGACCACCGTCCAAGCAGCTGAGCTTTGCTGTCCTCAGACTGCAATCGCTTGACAAGTGTGGAGGCGATGGGAGCCAGACATGTGAAGTTTCAACTGAAGCGAAACCTGGAACATGTCCTGGCAACCGAACATCCCAAGCCTGGGTTCGCCCCTCCTGTCGCCCAGCTGGAAAAACCCGTCAACCCCGCCGTCGCCTGGGGTGAAGCTTCCGAACTATCCATCACCAGAGAGCAACGTCCGAGCTTTGATGGGGAGTTCCTCCGAGGTCACTGATACCACAACGACCGAGACAACAGCCTGCACGCTGGTCCGAAAAGCCTTTTATGCTCTTGCCGTGCAGCAATCAGGATCTTGATGACATCCACCTGACCTGTCTAGTCCGCGAAGCTAGCTGCGTCCGATAACAATAGCAGTCGATAATTCTTGAAACAACACGACGTAGCAATAACACAAGAAACAAGAACAGCTGCAAACACAGTAACCAGTAGCAGTGACACTATTAGTCGCAGTAACAATAGCAGTAGCAGTATAGCAGTAGTAGCCGTAGCAGCAGTAGAGGCAGCAGCAGCAGCAGTGGCAGTGGCAGTGGCAGTGGCAGTGGCAGTTGCAGTGGCAGTGGCAGTGGCAGTGGCAGTAGCAGTAGCAGTAGCAGCAGCAGCAGTTGCAGTGTGGCGGTGGTGGTAGTAGTAGTAGTAGCAGCAGCAGCAGTAGTAGTTGTTGTTGCAGTAGTAGTTGTTGTTGTAGAAGGTGATGATGAGGTCGGGTCGGGCCAACATGATTGCCGTTATGGTGACTTGCTGTCATACTGGCTCTTTTTCGGACTACACAGACACCGACGACGACGACGACGACGACGCAGAGGACGAAGACGACGTTGACGATCATGAAAAGACGACGACGACGACGACGACGACGACGACGACGACACCGATGTTGCCCTCGCCGGCAGTTGTTTAACTTTATTTTAACTTGCATTCAGCTACCATGTCCGTGCTACTGCTCCAAAGTTACGCATGATGTATGTCTATCCCATGTGCTTTCCAAATAGCCTCGGGAAGATGCGATGTGGAGAGGTGTCCGCGAGTCCTCGGTAGCTCTCAGCAAATCAGGACCCAAGAGGATGCCAAATTTAGTGACTGCTCTCGTCATGGCGACCTCTCGTTGTGTATCCATGCAATTGCCGTTACGAGGCATAGTCTGCCGCGTTCGGGCTGTGTCCGTTCACCAACTTCTTGACCTGCACACGTGTGCTTTGACCATGCAAAGTTTCTGTTGTGGTCTGAAGTTAGTCAAAGAGCACGAACAAACCGTACCAATTCTAATCCTTATGCCCCTTCTACACGAGTTTACCAACCGTGCCAACCTCTGATCCTGATCCTTGAGTGCGGAAATCACTACTTCTCATTCTCCTGTGCCGCTGATGCAACTCGTCGCTGTTGCAGGAGCAGAGTCAGTCTCATGCCTCTGCCCTGCATCCAACCATTATGTATGGCTTCCAGACATGTTGTGGCATTTCTGACACTACCGCGGAACCAACAACTGCGGAAACAATCACCGTTATTGACAAGTGATGTTGGGCAGTCTGGGACATGCATCTTGCCTCCGCACCTACACCCCCCATCCACCTGAAACAACTAAGCGGCGGAACATGTCTTCTTGAGACCGTGGCTGTGTCTGACTATTCGGTCACATAAACGAAAAACATCCCCTTAATAAGCAGCAAACGTCGACGCAATCCTCAACAAACTCCGAAGCACTGCTCGCTACTCCTTCCACGATGACCCCAAAGCTCCGGATACCCTTTGCAATCGGCACCTCAGCAACATCCCCGCGCGCAGCAGCGAAGCAAAGCGCAGCTGTTGTCAGGTCCCTGCAATTGAAGCTACTGCGGTTGGACAATCCATGATCAGAATCCTTGACAAAATCGGGGGCGATGCGCCTACAGACTCAGTTGCTTGCTTTCGTATTTTCTCAGTCTTAGTTTGCAATGTTATCTTTTGCGTTGTCGTCGCTTGCCCAAATCTCAACAGCCAACAACCTTGCAAAGTCGACAACACCGGTTGGCTTGCTCCGCCGCTCCGCCTGCTGTGCATCCGATGGCTCTGAGCATCTCGAAGAATGACTCGATAGAGCCTCAGAGGAAAGGGCAGCGCCGGGCTTCGGGACCTCTGCAGAGTATGCGGTGCATCCAGGGAGCTGGTAGCCCTTGGAGTTCTTGGGGAACTCGTCTCTCTTTCTCCTGGTCTGCTTGATTAAGTTCTCCATCACCTGGCAGGTTTCGGGTCCAAGTAGAAGCAGGCACAATGCATGGATCGGTGTTCTTTCTGCCGCGACGAACCACCCCACTCTACTTGTCTCAGCACACAAACACAAGCACGGAACCATCATTAATGAATCATTGCGATCTCGCCAACAACAGTGCGGCTTTCGAGACGATATCCAGCAGTGACAAAACTAGATTCGAATTCGATCACTAGAACAAGATTGCCCTGCCCGAGCCATCGGTTTATGCTGCCTGCGATCCGTCCGCTGGGAAGTTGGAGACCGCCGATTCCCAGGCGTGATCTTAGCTGGATTATGATGAACTCGAAATGTTAAGTCGTTTTCGACGCCTTCGTGCGACTTGTTTGTGCAAGTACAGGATATGTAGGTGTTGCTGTGTACGTTTGGCTGTGGGAGCTCGAACACGGCTGAGGGATCCGAGCGACTCAGAAAACAAATCAAACGTCTGGGATGAAAACACATCATAGTCGGAATCGAGAAAAATCAAATATCATATTTCCTGGGAGGATACGGAAGGGTCCATTCAAGATTACAAGCTGTCGGATCAAAACAAATTCAAATGAAAAAAGGATAAGGTTTTCTGCTGTCTAACCAATCGTACTAGCAACATTGAGCATTTTTCATTGCCGGTGTGCCAAACAACCGTGCCAGAAATAATGGTACGGGTGACCGTAACAGTAACGAGGACAGTGAACGTATCTGTAATCAATACAGAGCCACCTAGCCGAACATTGAGATATCCAGTTCAGATGACTAGACTAGCCGTTCTGAATTATGGGCCAAATACTGAAAGTTACAGCATTTCAGGGGTTGATCCCTATCTGATTTCTTTTGGATCCCTTTCTGATTCTTATTGATTGTCGTTTCGTTGAAGCCTGTTCCCTCGAACTCGCCAGAGTCTTCTGACCCAAGTCTGTCCCTCGTATGCCGTAGGCCCCAACCTCAAGGCCCTTCATAACCCATTCTGCGACGCCGGACTACGATCAAACCTGCGATTGCAGCTTTGGGGTGGTGCTACCCCCGTGGCCCACTGAGAGCCCCGTACCCGCCATTCGATGAAGAAGCGTTCCTAATGTTCCTACTTTCAGTTGGGTCTTCAACCTAAACTTGATCCTGAAGAACCTTTCTGAACCCCCACAGGACGCATCGCATGGAAGTTTCAAGTCAACGAAAATTACGGCGTCGAATCTGCCACAAAACGGCGCAGGAGCGCCCAGGAGAGACTTCCAAAGATTCTGACGCCGAAGATCCTCCAAGAAACACAGCCAAAACAGAGTCCTTGACCTCTCCCTTCCCAAGAAAAGGATACGAAAGGCTCTGCGATCCAGGCAGCTGCTGAGGCTCAAAATGCGGCAAAGCGTTTTGCTGCTCACATCGAAGGGCTCAGGCAGACGACCTTGGGCTTTTGCGCTTCGGTGTGCAGGCTTGAAAACTGGCGTCGACTTATGCTCAGGTTTGCGGCGCGCAGTCTCTGACTCTGTGGCTGCGCAGGGTGTCTCCTAACTAGCCAAAACCCTCCGAGAGCATCACCTCGCTGTCACCCCATCATGATTTGCAAGGACTTTTATTCAGGTGTTTGCTTAAAGCTCCGCCCGCTTCACGCTTCAGGGGCTTCGTTCTGACAAAAAGCCCCGTTTCCCGCATTCGCCCAAATCCGAAACTCTGAACTTCAGCTCCGGCAGCAGAGGAAGGCAAACTCAGAGAAAGTCTCCTTGGAGGAACATGAGCGTCACATGGACCGCCTTCACGTGTAACCCTAATAAGTCATCACACTTGTTCCTGAATACAGAATTTCGACGGTCGGAGCATGTCCAGCTGGTCGTCTGAACCAGATGTTTGTGCTCATGCGTCACACGTCCAAAACCCTGAGAGGAGAGGGTTCTCAGCAGCTTCGGCTTCGGTCCCAGCTTCGTGCATCCTCCGGGTCTCGATCATCACCCCGCGATGCGACAGAAGGACCTCCGCCGAAGGGCGGACGGGGGGGGACAGAGCTTCGGAAGCCGGAAGCTCCAGGATCCCGGAAGCTGTGGTGAAATTCGGCAGACTTGAGAGTGTGGTCAGATTGTTGTTGAGGAAGGTCCTATCCTGCGAAGGCAACTGCGCCTCAGCGCCTTATCAAGACTCGCAACGCATTTCTACATTCGGGCTCCGGGCTCATGACTGGGAAGCTGCCCTGAACGACTGATACTTAAGGGAGCTGTGCTTACAAATCGAAATGGGTCACTCGGACCTGCCAGTTCGGTCGAGGAGCTACATGCAGTTAATGCACTTCTCGTGACTTGTGCCCCAAACCCAGGTGCTGGGGTTGAGTGACTCTCGCGATGTACCAGCGAGGTATTGCATGTCGTCTACGGTGCGCGAAAGCTACCAACCAAAGTGCCTCGCCGTCCGAGATGAGGTACAAGTTGCTGCTGGACTCCTCAACATAGACCTGCAAATCTATGCCGGTCTTAGCTTTAGGCTTTTGCTGGGGATGCAATCAAGATTTCAAGCGACAGATTTCAGCAAGGAAAAGATGCTTGTTGATCAGGCCCTAAACGGTTCGCTGTTCCAGTGGCCTACTGCCGAAGTTGGACGCAGAGATCCACAGATAAAAACTGAGCAAGAGGGGTTGGGTATCTGAGGAACCTCATATGATTGCTGCCGTGCCCTGCGAACCTGACAGCTACTACCAGCTGACTTTGCAACAGAGCGCCGTGTGCACTATCGACGGTACCGTCAGGGGCTTGACAGACTTGAATGAGCTGGGCTCCCTGCCAGGTGATGTCCTGCCATGTACCTCCAATGACTCTCCCTGACATGCAGCATAAGATTCAAGAATCCCTCTCCACCCTTATGCATCGGATCTTGTCTTGGGCCGTAGCCGCCCTCACTCCTCAAAGTTCCCTTGCTGCAGCAAGTTTCTTGGCAAGTGAATAGACATGTACCCATATATAAATGTAAATGTAAATATCAACATGTACATGTGCAACTCAACATAGAAGTGATGTACATGAGCGATGGCTTAGAGTCTAAGCTTCCATGGCGAGTGCAAAATTTGCCCAGGCCCATGGCCCAGCCTCACCGCCCAAACTCAGTTCTGGCCTGTCGGCCCCTTCCCAAGCATTCTCAGGCGTCCAAGTTCATTGCCGATTCGATTCTTTGGATTAGTGGCGTAAAGACTTTTCAATAAATTGGTGTTTTCCTTCTCTGCCACCCCAACCTCTTCATCAGCCGAAACCCTCGTGCTCTTAGCCTGCCCCGAAAGTTGTCGACAGCCGCGGCGCTGGGGCACTTCATGGCTTCGGGCAGCCCTTTCGCGCTTTCTGCAGTCACTTGCGCCAAGCTTGCATAAACGATGCCTTGTCAAAATCTCTTTTCAGCCCATCGTATGGCCTCTGCGGTACCGTAAGGGTGAACTGGCAAGCACATGTCTGCAACCTACTAAGCTACCACGAGCTCCTTGCAACCGCTCACTGTTGAAATCTGAAGCAGCTCAAAGGCCAAGCTTGCACAAAGACCGCATTCGCCTTTGCGCGAGTATGCGCACACTCGAAGGGGTGCACGTGCTTAAACGATCGCCTTCATTGCCCTGCGGGTGGTTAAAAATTAGGGTCCCTTTTTAGGTCCCTATTATACGGCGCCTAGTGTTGAGGGTACCCAAAAAGAGACCATTTTGACAACCATGTGAAAAAGAAAGACCCTCACGTGAACCAACAGGGGCACAAGTTGGAGACGAGCTGGGCATGCAGCTGCGAGAGGCAGCCTCGTGCGGACCCTTCCCCTTCAGAGTAAATCTGCTACTCAAGAAAGCCCTCCCGAGAAGACCTCCGGAGGTTTCCTGGACTTGCACAGGCTCCTGCAAAGATCCTTGCCGCAGTCCCGACTGTTCCAAAGCTCAGGTTTTGGATGATGAACTCAGAGACTCAGACTTTCTCCTTGCAGAGGCAGACTCGGGTACCGGGGCTTCGCGCTCTCGTTTCAAAACAGCCGAGCAGCGCTTTGCGCAATGCGAAAACCTTGGAGTCGGAAAGTTTCCGGAAGTTCAGAGAAGGGATGGGTCCGCATCTTAGGAGAGACACAGCAAATCTGCGAACTGCTCACCAGCACATTCCTCGTTGCAGATACCCTTTTCCTGTCGCTGGTCGTCATCATCTAGTGCAACCAGCATCAGCATCATGACTACCATCGTCATTGTCATTGCCAGTACCGAGGTCGCAAGCATCAACCGCTACTTCACCACAACGGCATCAGTACTGCAGGGTCCAAGCAAAGCGTTAACGTCTGCATGTTGCGCCCGGTTGAAGGCGATGCATTCTCCCTTTTTGGCCCAGGCACAGGTCGACTTCCCGGATGAGCTTGGAGTAAAGAAGCGAACTGATCCGTGCCCTGTGCAGGGAAATCGGGGGTACCGCCTCACCTCTAAACCTGCGGACTTGTGCAGACTTGCAAAGATCCTGCTGGATTCACTGCACGTGGTACAAGCCGAGCCCTGCCAGCAGTAGGATAATCAGCCGCGCTCCCGCCACTCCCGCCACAATGCTGTTCTGCTCGTACTTTGCCCGTGGGAGAGTTCCAACTGTCGTCCTCGTCGCGCTTCCACCGCGATCCCGTGCGTTTCCGCCTTCAGACTTAGTGCTGAAGTGCTTGCTGCTGCTCTGCCCGATACTCCTGTGTAGTCCTGCTTCTCGAACGAATGCACATCTCTGCGCCTTCCCCGCTTTAGCAAGGCGAGTTGGAGTGGTCCTGTCTTCAGTGTTCTACAATCTGGGACTGGTCCTTCAAGGGGTGGAATGCCTTCATTGGGGCATACTCACGGCAGCTGACTCTCTGGCTCCGGGGCCTTTCGCTGCGTGGAGGACAAGGGCGCATTCCGCTTGAGAGCCACGGGGGTGACACGCTTGGACTTTACGCTGCTCTGCTGCACTTAAATCTTCGCTTCCTTTCTGTCACCCAAGAGCAGGCGCAGCCCTACATGTCTCGAAATCCCCCCGTGTCTCTACTCTCTACAGCTTTCACAAGACAGCATGGAAAAGAGATATCGTTCGAAACAGCAACAACCTCGGCGGGGATCACTCGGCGGGGGAGCTCGGAGCTCGGCCTGTAGAGCTCGGGAAGCATGGCCATCACGCTCGACTCCAGCTCCTCACAAACAAACAGCCTGCACCCAAAAACCCAAAAAGGCTCAAGCCCTTCGTTCTGCTGATGCAGCATGGCCCTCCTTGCCAAGAAATGCGGACCGCGACAAGACCGGAAACCCCTAACCCGAAAGTGCTCGAAAAGCTGGGATGTCTGCTATTTCCCCTCGAAGTATCCTGAAGCCTCGATGCTTGTGCCTGGCATGAGCTCAGAGCTCATCCTGTGCTTCTAAGCCTTCGCTCCGGTCCGTGGCTCCTGGTCAGTGCTGAACTTGAAGCGAACGTAGCCCTGCAGCTGATCCTGAAGAGAGAGGGAGAGAGGGAAAGGGAGGGAGCTTCGAGCTTCGAGCTCTATGCGTCTCCGTGCCCTGCGTCCGGCCCGAGCCTTCAACGTGCCCGGGAGGTTGAAGGTCTTGCAGAAGACGCCCAGCTGCCGGAGCTCTTTGCCTCAAAAGCGGAGCGTCGCGTCGTCTCTTCTTGAAGCAAAGCACTCTCCATCTCTGCGTTTAAAGTCTTAGCAGCAAGCTGCCCCGTCCCCACCCTCCACAACCTCGCTAACCTTTGCAACACTCCCATGAGGGCTCGCCTGGGTCGGCCAGTAATCTGCTGCAACCTCCCGGCAAAGCCGGCCCTGCATCAAGAAGCCTTCTAAAGCAGCCGCGTGGCGCATGGTGTATATCCCGACATCGGCGCGTGTGAGCAAAGCCGAGAGATTGGAGACCAGGTAGGTCTGAAGGCAGATGTTGCACATCATGACTACCTCGGTGAGGCCAGAGTTTGAACACGCTGACGTGCCAACATTGCATTCGGTTTGCGCTGGTGCATTGATGCGAAGGCAGAGAGACGGACCCGGAGGCCATACATTCAGCAGCGCCCGAGTGGCACAAGCGAGCATCTTCTCCAGGTCGCTGGTCGGCACCAGGTCTCCTGCCGTGCTTTGCACAAAACCTCACCTATGCTTCTGCGCCAACTCGACAAAGCGATGTGGAACCACGTCACATGCTCTTTCAAAGACTCTGAGCAGCACCTTCGGAACCAAAAGCACAGAGCGTTGGTGCCGCGAGCGGCCCTGAATCAACCCAGAGCTCTGTCCGCGCCTGCGCTGGGGCCTGCCTTGAAAGTCCCCACGGCCCAGAAAAGGGATGTGATGTAACCTGGGCCGGGACCGTTTCGCATGTAGCTCAACTGTGGCGCCGGGGTTATGGCCTCGTGCAGTGGTTGTAGGATTGTGGTCCTGGCTCTTTTGGGCCCTGGAGGTCTGTCAGCCTGGACGAAGATATCAGAGAGCCCTAGCGCTCAACACACTTCGAACGTCAAAGCCCCGCAAGAAAACTTTAAGCAAATCCCTCGCAAGAGCATACAGGCTGTGCAGACTGAGGGCGTTGGGCCCACTGCTGGCCCGGGAGATGGGGGGCCCCTTGAGCGACCCACGTGTTCTCCTTCGAGGCCGGAGAGTCCATTGAAAGAAGTCACCAATCCCGAAGCAGCTGTCGCCATGCAAAAGCTCAAAACGTGAGATCTTCCGCATGCGCGAAAGCGTGTAAGCAGCTGCTTCAGCACTGCAGTGCGCCAGGGTCTTCCATGACATGATCTCGGGTTACTACGGAACGTCTTCAAGATGAATCCCCAGGCCCAGAACTCTGAAGAAATATCAGTGATGTGGCTATTCACCTTCCCAAGTGCTCAGAATGTGCATGATTCCGGTCCATTCCCGAGGCCCTACGTGCGGTCCACAAAGCCGTCATCCCGAGCCAGACCCCAAAAGAGGCAAGCAGAGAGGTGCGTTGACCTGATGCTGAGGGGACTTCTGAATATGGCCATGGGCTTCCAAAGAAACTATGCTTTGCAGGAGGGTGGAGCACCGCTGTTTACGGAGCAGCTTCGGAAGCTGAGGCGTGGGTTGAACTGCTTCATGTCGATGTAGCAGGAAAGGGAATGTGAAGGTTCGAGGTGAGGGAGCTGTGCTGAACCGTGGCGGATTGTAGAGAGCCTGACCAAGAAGTCAAGGACGCCACGCAACTGTATCCCCGAAGACCCACAGCCCACCTCAAAGGCCCGATGGTGTCAACTCTCGAAACCCTCGAGTTCGAACGATTCGGGGGCTTGTGATTTGCAGGGTGCTTTCGGGTGTTAAGGCTGAGGCTCCCGACAGCAGAATGCAAGTGACGAACTTCGAGAGCATGATCACGATGAGGTTCGTCTTGTCGCCTGCACCGCTTCGTCACAGGGAGAAGTCCCTGAAGGCTCTGGCCGCTAGCCCGAAGTCTCCAAAAAAGCCAGGAAAGGCCGAAGTGGTCGGTCCTTCGACTCCAAACTAAGGGTTGGGTTTGGGCTTTTGGGTTTGGGTGAGGCGTGGAGACCTCTACCCCGCACATCCGTAGACTGTGAAGTGGACAGAGCAAGATTTCAATATTTCTTGGCGATGGAACTTGCATGATTGAATCCGACATCCTCAGCCCCTGAACCTTCCAACCCGAAGGCCAAATTCAGCGGTGACAATCCCGAGACTGTACAATCGCAGCTCAGAAAACTCTCGACATCTCGCGTGCGGCAGAGAGACTCTGCTGCATCTCCCGGAACATCACCAAGAGCCGGTACAGCCTGCAGCAGCTCGAGCTATGAGTTTCACCCACTCACCAAGTCTAGCTTTGGTTGATGCGGCAAAAAAGAGCCGTCTTTGTGAAGTCGAAGAGGTATTGAAATGCAGGGCTGCTTCCGTTCCTTCACGCAAGCAATGCCCTGAACCTCGCAGTCTGGTGTTCAACCGAAGCGGTGAGTTCTGGGCCCTTGAAGCCTTTGCAGTCTCGCTCTGAATCTCCCAAAAGGCCACCCGCCTCACCAAGCGGAGAAGGCCAAGGCCAACTGTGAGTCGGCTCACGCCAGTGACCTGGGATCGCCAGGCTCGAAGAGCTCAAGCTTAGGGCTTAGGGCTTAGGGCTTAGGCATGCTTGGGACTCAGGAGGCCCAAAGCTTAGGCTATGGCACGAGTCTTGGAGATGAGAGCTTCGGCTCTGAATGCAAGCCCAAACAGCCCGACTTCCACAACACCCTTGGGTCGTGGGCGGCCTGCACAAGGCACACGCGATTCCTGTACCGCTGCTCGAACATCTGTCAGTTTATGCTGGCACCTTCTCTGGAGAAAGTATACAAGAAAGGCTGAAGGTCTCTGAGACAGTGGAAAAACCCAGCAAGGCAGTGTCGGAAACAAAGCATGCAATCTCAACCAGTGCTGATGCATCCACAGGGAGGGGAGACTACGGTCGGTGGATGTCGGTCGACCCCGAGCATGGCTTCCAAGGCCCCAGCCATCTCCACAACGGTATCCACAGGAAAAGTAGCCAGCACGTCCAAAACAAGCCGACCTCTCATCTCAGCAAGCAGAGTTTTACGCTACCTCAAAGTTGCTGAGCACCGTTCCATTGCGACAGCAAATCTTTGAAACGATAGAACCTCTGTCAGCAGCAAACTAAGGCAGCTGTGAAGAACTGCCTGGATTCTATGTTCTACGTCGCTCATGGCCGGTCAATGCTCACATCCTTATGGGGACTTGTCCCGGCAAGGAAGACTAGGGGAGTCGGTATAAAGTATAAAGGTTCAGTTCTCGAAAGCTCAACACGCCAAAACCACGACCGCGCTGAAGCTCGACACTTTGAACCCACAGTTGAAGCTTACAACCCAACGATGCTCTTCCAGACAATCCCGGAAAGGGTGCAGCGCCGAGCTGCCACTCCACCAGTATCGCTTCGCAATCTCTATCCTCGAAAAGCGGGCTTGGAGCTCCGAACGATTCAGCTGAGGACCGCCGGACGAGACCAGACCGTGACCCGTCTTTTGGCCTTCCCACACCGCAGTCGGACGAGCAACCGTTAAGGGAATGTTGAAGCAGTCCTGCACCGAACCCTTCAGGCGACTCCCGGCGGCGTTCAACCGGCGATTTCCCAAGCCCCAAGCACTCTCTGGGGACCTGACTTGCAACCTGGACATGGGACACGGGTCAGCCTTACACTATACAGGGTTCGGGCCGACGCACCTCGAGGTGATCAACCCGCTCGGCTTTGCGATCCTTGGACAACGCAGCTCCGCACGGCGGTCCGGGGGGCTCAAGATCTTCGACAGCTCAGAGGCTTCTCCTCTCTCTCCTCTAGCCGAAGCTCGGCCGAGCCACTACATGCCGCGGCTTTTCTCACAGGCGAAATAGATCGTGAACCCCACCACAAACCCACAAAATCTTAAAGCCCTGAGGCCTGGAAGGCCGGAAACCCAACGCACAAACTGTGACTTTCTGCAGAGCCAATGTGCGCCAGGTTGAAGGTCATCACAATGTCCAAGGCAAAGATGACATCCTGAACACCGCGACGTTCCACGACCACAGTCGGTGCTAGGACTGCTACTCTGCCGACGAATTCTACTGCCACTGTGACCAAATCAACCCGAGACCCCACCCCCTCGCGCCCCTGAAGCCTTCATCCAAAACAAAACAGCTCCATTGGTTCACAAACAATGCACTCCCCCCCCCCTTCTGTGCATGCGAGCTGCGAGGAAAGAGTCGATCCAGAAGGCAACTTCATCCTGCTGCAATTAGGGGATGGGGGATGGTGAATGATGGAGATGGCTGGGGGCACCTTCGAAAAGGACGCGTTCAGGGTTGAGACAGGAAGAACTAAGAGAACAGAAGCAGTGCACCCCAGCCTTCGGATCCAGAAGCGCCTGAGGTTGCGTTTGCGTTCTTGGAATTCGGGGGTGGTGAGGTTTTGCTTGGCTTCCTTCTGCCGTTGTGGCTCACTACTGCAAGCCGAAAATCTGGAACCCTGGCTCCTAGCCTGAGCGGCCTGGGCCTACCCATGTTACAGCATGTTACAGCCCTCGTGCACGGCCTCCGCGAGCGCGAGGGCTTGCTCATCGTACCCGTGATCCGACGCTAACCGCGAAGCCATGTCCAAGTATGGATACTAAGTGGCCGAGAACCTATGCTCGTTCCCTAGAATCACTACTCTGCATTTTCCTTGCTCAGGCTGACGGGCATCAGCCTGGCCATCAGCGTCTAGCAGAAAGTCTGCATATCAACTCTGCAAGAAGTACTGTGTCGAGGACACCACCAAGAGCATCACGAACAGACCTGTGCCATAAAGTAGCATACCGGATGGGAGTGAAGAATCCGCTGATGAGCACCATGAAGTGCATCGCGGTGGTCCAGATCTTGGTTCTAAGGCGTCTGGGGGACTGAAGGGGAAACGGTCGTGAAACTTAAACGTTGCGATCCTGACACTGCTACCGGAACTGTTCGTTCAAGAGACGGGAACGTAAGCACGACACACCAGTACCAGTAGAGTGCGGGTACACAATTAGACACGCGAATTAAGCTACAAAGCTGGCAAGGCAAGGCAAGGCTTTCAATCCCGAACCCAAAAGCGCGACTTGCAATGTCTCTAGATCTTAGGCGGTAGAGCTCTATATACTCGTGGAAACGGGTCGTGTGTCGCTGCAGGGCCACTAGAGGGTGGGACCTTGATGCACCGGTACGTGGCCGGATGTCGGTCGATCCGGGACTACTTCCGGTTGCCGCAACTGGAAATAAAACATCGTGTAGGCGTATAGCTGAAAGTTACGGAATGGCAAGCATCATGGCGTATCGACGCATGTGTTCACCCCCACACACACCATCCTGAAGGATGAAAGTCGAAACCTGTAGTCCCGAAGGCTCCAAAGCCCTGAAGCCTCAGCCAACACAGTAGCCGAAGACCTTGTAGGAGGCGAGAGACCTGCACCCATTTCCATCTGGGCACAAACCTCGGCAAAAGGACTGTCATGGTCAAAGTCTCAGGCAGCAGCCTGCACCACCAATACTGGAAAGTCTTGTCAGAAAAGCCCGAGGAACAGCCACTTGTCTTTTGCCATCTGCTCCGTGCCGTCGACATCAACTGAGATCGAACAGTGTAGCACCGGGGTTCGAGGACGCAGGGCAGAATGAGAGGAGGGTGCGGAAGAAGCTTCGAGAGGCCGAATCTGAAACATCTTAACAACTTCTGGCCAGTCGTAACAAGAAAGCATGTGCCATTTATGCACACTGAAGCGCGACAATTTCAGAACATGACGCCACAAAACACCCCGTCGCCTTCCCAACACAAAACACACACGGGAAGGGAAAGAGAGAGAGAGAGAGAGAGAAAGAGAGACCTTTGAATGCCTCGAGCGATCAACTGCCCCGGTTATGACCTGGACTGTCTTCAAAAACAGTATTCAACAGTATCAGAATCAGTGTACACAACGAAGAACTCCATGTTAGGCACGCAGAACTGTGAGTTTTCGAGAAGCTCCGATCTCCTCCCGACACAAAACATGCATACACGCATGCCATGTTGGCGAGCGGCGGAAAGTCGTCGTACTGCCCTGCCCCTGTCAAATTGATGCTTTGCGATGCAGTCGGGGAGTCCCGACGCGGGATGTGGGTTCTCAACATTCCCTAAGCAACTGGACACTGACATCGAGAGGCACTGAAAAGCAGCATGCTGGCTCTCTTCTCAGGCTGCTAGGAGAAACAAGGCGAACTGCGAAGCAATCGGCTCAGCTCCGAAAATCCCAAAAGCACATAACTTTGCAGTTCCCTTCAAACGGACGTGCAACCGCATTTGGAAAGCCCGTCCCGTTGCCCTTAGTGGCCGGATTGCCGAGGCCAGGGTTCAGGACTCAAACCGCTGGGTGTTGCACTATAGCTGCTGTAGCTTCTACTTCGCTTTGCTCCTGGGAAATTTGCATCTCGGCGCTGGAGGGTACCCTACAAAAGATCGCTCTACCCTCGACCTCGTGAACCTAATTTAAAACTGGATTCCTGCATAGTCACACCGAAAGCCCAGTGTTTCAATCAGGCTAGGCATGACGTCTCAGTTGCAAGCATAGAGCTTCCATGCAGCTACACGTCGGCGCACTTCGGGCTTCATTTTCGGGTATTTCGTGTCTGAGGCTCGAAATGCAGAAATAATTGCTGGGGTTTCTGATTCTACATTGCCTTCGAACGGGACTCGGAGTTCTTCCTTGGCGATCTACTTCGCACTTCCAGAACCAACCATCGCTCTCCACCCGCATTCTGTGATGAAACTCGCCAACGAAAGAAACTAGTGAGAGGACAATGTCCTAGCTCCGAATCCATACATGAAGCCTGAACGCTTGAAACCCAGCCGTGGAGCTGTATGCTCCAATAGCTCTTGACTGGGGTGTGCTCGGTCCAAATTCGATCGCCGGCGAAGGAGTCGCCAGCTTCTGGACGTGACAGGGCCATGGGGGATGTCAGGGGTCTTAGCTCACCCTCCAGGCAGCTCGAAGCAGCATCATGCTTTCAAGCAAGAAAGCTCAACAGATCTCAACAGAGAGGGGCGCTGTTGGGCTGTTGGGTCGAACGTGGGAACTCTTGCAGCAGGGCTGCCGGAAGGAGGCCCGCGCATCAAGCTCTCAATGTGGCCTGAGAGCCAAGAGCACATCATACAAATAGCTGCAAGTAGGCCAGACGATCCAGGCAGTGTTGAACATACGACCAAAAGGTCGTCAGCCTGACCCCATTGACCCTTGCCAACGATGTAAAGTTCTTAGGGCTTCGTGTTTGGGTGATGCGATTCAGTCTTCCCCGGCCCCAAACGTCCTTTGCCAAGGCTCTCTCTGCAATCGAAGGTCTCGACCTGCTCGGGTCTTCGGCGTTGCTGTGCGGTTTGTCATTGGCAAAAGACGATGGTCTCTAGAGCGAAGCTCCAAAGCTCACTAGTCATTCCCAAGACCGCTCAAGGGCTACAAGGGCTATGGGACCCGGCTACCTTGTCATACAATGAAGCCTCGGAATGTGCCCCTGTAAATACAGCTAGCTCAAGACCTGATGAAGACAAGAGTCGAGCTGACGACGCTCTGCCGATATCTGCCAACCCTTGGCAGGAAAGCCGCAGTGGGTCAGGGTCGTCAGGGGCTTCTGGTAACAGTTTGCACTTCGACAAGCTGTTCTTTGGGTCGGATGCAATGTCTTGAACCCTAGGCGGGGCAGGCAGATTGGACTGTTTGCTGCAAGCGTGCTGCAACGTGTGAAGTTCGAGTACATGAGGACCACAAGCTTGCACTTCGTCCCACATATGGTCAAGACATTGTGCAGGGCCAGGAGGGGAGGGGCGAGACTCTGAATGTCCTCTCGTGAATGTGGACTTGCAGCTTCAGACTCTGACAGCTAGTAACATCACCAAAGCAAGATCAAGCGGACAACCGACAACCCCCCCCCGCTCCCCGAAGACACACGCACACACATGGACATTCAAGAAGCATGAATCTCTCAATGCCTGTTATCTGAGAGCCACGCTCACCATGCCCACATTGCTCAGTGTTTGCCAGTAACTGTTAAAGAGTCACGCGTCAGCGAGCCATTTACACAAGTCCAGCACTGCCTTGTTACTGCGACTAGGACTAAGAGCATTGATCTATCAACACAATATGAGTATGGCCAAGCTTTTGTAACGACAACTCTTGAATGCCTGGTGGCTTTTCGAAAGTCATCACGCTAATATCATGAGTTGCTGCCTAGAAATCTGCCAAAAACCAACCTTCCAACTCTACAACCTGAGACACACGTATACTTGCCCATCGCATGACGGCTCCGCGACTTTGAAATTCACTCTCAACCTTTGAAGTTATGCTAACTCTAATTCCATAATAACGGTGCACTGCCGAAGGCACGGTGAGTGCTGGGGCGATTTTCCATACTGGCTGTCCTGGGTGCTTCACCCTTCTGGCGACGTGCTGAGCAGGTGACAATAATCTGGCGGGTGGGAAGAGCCATCACCTGTCCAGACTCTGTAAAGCCTTGCACATAGTCTCGTCGATGTTTGAATGAGTTGTTGGCAATCCTAGCAGCCATCAGCCGACCCTTTTTGTGCTGCCAAGAAGCTGGCGTCTCATTCATCTCTGGTGGTGAATGCTCTTTCCGCTCGTTGGCGGCCACATCTGGGCAAGTCTCTCGTACAAAAGTAGACTCTGAAAGAATATTCAAACCTCAAGCCCAAGGGCAAGCTCTAAAGACTAAGCGATCATGCCCACCAGACAAATCATGCTGAATCAGCCGACCCCATCTGCTGGTATCTCATCAAGAAATTCAAGCAACTGTGATGGGGAGGAAGGACAGAACAAGCGGACAAGTCTCTGCTGTGCTACCAAACAACGCACTGCTGCCAACAACAAGTGCAGAAGCGAAGCCAGAGCAAGCTGCGGATAGGTAGGACTGATTTCATTTCAGACTGTCAAGTCTTCGAGGGCACCAATGCAACAAAGGAATTTAAGTCTCATGAACACTGTCGAAGCGGGGGCGGTCAGTGTATTCTACTAGGCTTGGCAGAGGCTTGCCGAATTCGAAGATGAGGTAAGAGGATGTCAACAACACTTGGAAGCTTGGAAGTCGAGAGTAAAAGTCACAACCCTACAAAGCGTTGTACTCCAAGCAAGTGGAAGCCTGAAGAATCCGTTCGAATTGAATTTCCTGCCGTGGTGCCCTTCATGGAAAGGCCAGGCATTTGATCTGGGGACGGCATGCGCTCTGACGCAGCAACTGACCAGGCTGATCTCCAGTCTAGGAGTCTAGGCTTGGGGCTTGGGGCTCCCACATGCGCTTTTTGGTTGGGCTAAAGAGTCGTTGGATGCTCTCTGTTTCTTCATGGGCCTCCGGCAGCGAGTTTGATGTGAAAACATCGCGGCAGGCAGTGTACCTGGACCCTCAAGACAGACTGACAACCGTCGGAAAATTCCCCCTTCAAGTCCAGAGAGATCCAAATCGCTGGCTGATTAGATTTACGATGTCAGGTCTTGCACTCTGCCGGAGAGTAAGAAACGAGAAGCCCGTCCAAACCGTAGCCTCTAGCTCCAACCGCTACCATGTCCCACTCCGTCCCGATCCGGAGTGGGTTTGGCTGGGGGTGATAAACAGACTTGATGGCCATGTGAAGTAAGAAGAAGCATCCAAACAGGCATCAAAATGCTTGGGCTGACAGGTTGAGGCCCAAGACGGCGGCCTGGCGGAAGAGAGCTGTCCTGATCTGATCGCGAACCTGCCGAACCTGCGAGACGTCCAGTTCATTGTTCTGGTTTGGTTGGCTGTTGCCGAAAGGTATGCAAAACAGCATGCTTCCCTGAGGAGAACCCAATGGCTCCTTGTGCGACGTTGACTG